CCTTAGCTAATTCACATATTGATTCTCCCACACCACTTGTCCCTTCCCTACCCCCGCCCCCTCCCCCTCCCCCTCCCCCTCCTTTTAATAGAGTTTCAACACTGCCACCTCCTTTGAATAGAGCTCCATTGCCACCACCTCCACCACCTCCACCTCCTTTTAGTCAAGCTTCACCACCGCCTCCTCCATTGTATAGAGCTCCACCTACACCTCCCCCACCACCACCACTTTCTCCATCAACTGTAGTGTCACCCCCCCCCCCACCACCTCTTCCTCCATCTTGTGGAGCGCCACCTCCCCCCCCCCCCCCTCTTCCTCCATCTTGTGGAGCGCCACCTCCCCCCCCCCCCCCTCTTCCTCCATCTTGTGGAGCGCTACCTCCCCCCCCACCACCTTTTCCTCCATCAATTGGAGCCCCACCTCCACCTCCACCACCTTTTCCTCCATCAAGTGGAGCCCCACCTCCACCTCCACCACCTTTTCCTCCATCTAGTGGAGCCCCACCTCCCCCACCTCCTCCATTTCGTGGAGCACCACCACCACCTCCTCCATTGCCTGGAGCACCACCACCTTCTCCTCCAATGCCCGGAGCACCACCACCTCCTCCTCCAAGGCCTGGAGCACCACCACCTCCTCCAATGCCTGGAGCACCACCTCCACCACCACCTCCTGGTGGTCAAGGACCACCTCCACCGCCTCCTCCTGGTGGTCGAGGACCACCTCCTCCACCTCCTCCTGGTGGTCGAGGTCCCCCTCCACCTCCTCCTGGTGTTCCTGGCGCTCCTTGTCCTCCTGGGGGTGGACCTCCACCACCTCCACCCTTCGGTGCAAAAGGTGCAAATGCTGGAATTGATCCAAGAGGGAGGGGACGTGGATTAGCACGCCCTGGAGCGGCCAGTGCACCCAAACGATCCTCGTTAAAGCCTTTGCATTGGAGCAAGGTTACAAGGGCACTACAAGGAAGTTTATGGGAAGAATTACAAAGACATGGAGAACCACAAATGTAATTTGTCTTGTCTACTGTTGCGCTTGTTTGTCTGAATCATTTCAAGTATGTTCTTCATGTTATCTATATGCTATATTTTTTAATGACTGGTGTTATGTTCTTAGTGCACCAGAGTTTGATGTTTCAGAGCTAGAGAAGCTTTTCTCTGCAAATGTTCCAAAACCTGCTGATAAAGCTGGAGATAAGAAGAAGTCTGCTGGATCTAAAACTGACAAAGTCCACTTGGTATTATTCTTTATGAATATTTTTAAAATTTGATTTTTGATATTAGCATTGTGTAAGACATGATTTGATGGTTCTCATTAAGTCATTCCATCTAGAAATATAATATGCCATGATTTGTAATTTTATTTTATAAAGGCTGCTAAAGTTCATCACTGCATTTATATTTAAATTGGAATTTGATGCCATTGATTTGTAAACTTCATGATTTGCTATTGGTCATTGAATGAAGTCATCTTCATTTTTGTCCTGATTGCATGATCAGATACTTCTTGTTGACCTGTGGAGGAAAAAAATGTACTTTTCTTTAATTTTATTATGGCAATAAAAATATCCAGTACACCTTGATACAAAAGTATTAAGTATTGTTGACTGTACTAATCACATCAACAAAACATATTATTCTGTTCTTGTCCTTTCAGTTCAATGCCTCTTCATGTTCCATAAATTAAAATTCCACTGCTGTATTTAATGAATTATAAGGTGATATTGGTGCAGCCTTTTTCCTGTTAGTACTTAAAGCCAATATTTGTTAGAAACTCGTTGACTTTGTTTTTATTTGATACCTCATTAAGAACTGATCAATAACTTGTGTGTTTGTATTATTGATTGTAGGTTGATCTAAGGAGGGCTAATAATACTGAAATCATGCTCACTAAGGTTAAGATGCCACTTCCTGATATGATGGTAAGCTGATACTTTTTATATGGGCATTTTTATTACCATGCAAGAGTAGTTATTTAAGTTAAAGTAATTAATAATGAGAAGAATGAAAAGAACTTTTCTTTTGCAAGAAGCATTATGGTGAAAATCATAATTTTTGTTTTCATTGAGACTGGTTCTTAAAATATATGGAATTGTGAATATTAATACTGAAGGCTGCTGAGAGGAGATAAACAATATTTTATACTCCATATCTGCTACAATCTTTTATACACCATCTCTACGACTTCTGAAATCTCAACCTGGAACTATCAGTAGTAAGTATTATCTTTTCTAACATGTTGAAATGGATATCCTCAGGCTGCAGTACTGGCTATGGATGAGTCAGCATTGGATGTTGACCAAGTGGACAATCTCATTAAATTTTGTCCTACCAAAGAGGAGATGGAACTTTTGAAGGTGAAGTTTAACAAATTTATCCATACTTCTTACATCTTGTTTTAACTATTAAGCTTTCTATCTTGTGGCATCTTCTGTTGCACTTATATATATCCTTTTACTCTGATTTGTTTAATTTCAAATTTTGATTACTCTTGTTTATGGCTGTTTAGAATTACACAGGTGACAAGGAGAATTTGGGGAGGTGTGAACAGGTATGCTATGATTTATTTTAGTCATAGCATTATATATGATGCTTATTAACAGAAAAGTGTTAGTGATGGAATTATATGGGATGCCTTTTATGGCTTAACCATAACTGACTCTTGCCTTGGTGTCATCAGGTTTATATGTCATTAATAGATTGAGGGATTTTCTTGGTCTAGGGCTAATGGGTTTATCAGATATCGATTGATAGAACACCAATTGTAAAAGATGAAAATAGGCTTAAATAACACCAGATTACAGAAATTACAGCAATTTCTTCTGGTCCCAGGGTTCAGAAACTCCTACAGAGGCTCTCCCTGTCCAGAAAACTGTCTAACATTACACATAACTGTTTCCTAACACTATCACACCCATAAAAACGAAAATACATTACTTTTCCATAAACTGGCATATGGAAGTTATTGAAACTAAGTTCAGAAATCACTATTATTAAATTTTTCCTACAATAAACTTTCCAAGTAATGGGTCTCAGTGGGTGGTCTGAGTCCTTATCATCGATCCCCTTGTTAGTAGGGAAATTTGCTGTAGACCTTAAAAACGAGGTTAGGTCTTAGAAATTTGATTGCCACAAACATTGCTTGGTCTCCTAAATGGCTTTGGTCTTTTTCTTTATAGACTATTTTTATGGCATCAAGTTATCCTAAAAAAGTATGGTGTGCGCCCTAATGGGTAGGATGCTAATTCTTTGGTTATGTTTCGCATGCTAAGCCCCTGGAAATTTATGTCTCAAGGTTATGCTTCTTTTACACTGAAAAAAGTATTGTTTGCACTCTAATGGGTGGGAGTGGGATGCCAATTCTGTGTTTAATGCTTTGCATGCTAGCCCCTAGAAATTTACATCTCAAGATTATAATGCTTTTAGTTCTCTTATTTCCTTGGGTCTGCATGATGGACTGATGGTTCTTGTATTAAATTTTGCGAGGATCTTTTGGTGGCTATTGTACACCTGTACCTCTTTCTTATGCATTTCTTAAGATTTTTTTCTTTCTATTTTATGTAATTCTCCAATAATTCAGTTTTATTCTTCGTCACATTCTATTGTTTACTAGAACATCAGAAATTTGCATGATAGGGATTCCTCTGAATTACAGTCTCTTTTGGTGTTGCTATAATTCAACCCATCTCTCTTATAATCCAGATAAAAAATTTAGTCTACTAAGACTTTTTTTTTTTTAAAATCCTATTTCCATTTCTTCTTCCAGTAATTATTTTTCCTTTTGGAAAAGTCTCTGGAAATCTATTGCTCCATTTAAGGTCAAATCCTTTGTTTGGACTTCCGTACTAAATAAGATTAATACCAATGATTTACTTTAAATTTGAAGACTCTTGACTGCTTTGTCTCTAGGTTATTGTATTATGTGCAGATAATGTTCTGAAATTGGTTCTCATTTGTTCTTGCATTGCTCAGTAGTCAGTGATTTTATTTCTCTGGTATCATTTGTGTTCTTTTTTTGTTTTTGGTGAAGATCAGGTTTCCCCAAGATCTTAACCAGTTTCTCTAGGTTAATTTGAGGATTTGGCAATCTCAATTTTGGTTCTTTGGTGTATATGGTTGAAATGAAAGGCTAGAATCTTTATAGGTTGGCAGTTGTCTTTTGTGTTCATTTGGGGGGGGGGGGTTTGCTAGACCTATAGAGGTTGGCATGTTTCTTGTTTGTTTTTTTCCCTTTTATTTTGATTTTGATTTCTTTAGTTCTTCGGGGCTTATCCTTTCACCTTTGTACCTTCTCTTAATAAAGTATTTGGTCATCCAAAAGAAAAAGGAAAAAATTGAAAGTAAATTTAAAATTCATGTATTATGTGTGTAATGAAATGAAAGTTGGTTGATGGTGCCTTGTTGCTTGTGGAAGAAAAAAGTGATTAAACATTTATATATCTTCGTCTTTCCCCTTAGATATTTAGTTACAAATCAATACTTTTGGATTTTTTTTTTCATATTAAGTTCATATTACATAAATATGTATATGTAATCATATTCTTATTTATTTTGTGCTGTTACAGTTTTTCTTGGAGCTGATGAAGGTGCCAAGGGTGGAGTCAAAATTAAGAGTATTTTCTTTCAAGATTCAGTTTGGTTCTCAGGTTTGGTGGTGCCTGTAATATTTTTTTGAGTGTTCAGTGGATTTGATTTCTTCCTTCAGATATCATACTTTGCTCTTTATGCAGCTTACAGATTTTAAGAAGAGTTTAAACACTGTGAACTCTGCCTGTGAAGAGGTACTTACATATCCAACTGTTGAATGTTGTATTGCTTGAATTTCTTTGACCTTGGGCACTTTTTTCTGGGTAACAGGTCCGGAAATCTGCTAAACTGAAGGATATCATGAAGAAAATTCTTTATTTGGGTAATACATTGAATCAGGGAACAGCAAGGGGTAAGTCTTTTATAGTTTGTGGCAATTTCATTCAAATTATTTGTTTCTGGACATGGTAATTACATATGGTGCCAACTCTATTTTAACATTTAGATAATCACTGGATGATCCTATTTGTTAGGAGTCACACTTTTATGTGATTCTGTTAAATCTTATCTAGCGTAGAACATGCAGTTTATGGATAAGTAGTAGTATCAATGTTTTTATTGTTGCAGGATCTGCAGTTGGATTCAAGTTGGATAGTCTTTTAAAGCTCACTGACACTCGTGCTTCTAACAGTAAAATGACACTGATGCATTATCTTTGCAAGGTACAAGTGTCAACTGCAACAAATGAAGATATTGTTTGGCTGCTAACCTTTTTTCTACTCCCCTATTTGGCTCTAGGTCCTAGCTGATAAGTCGCCTGGACTCCTTGATTTTCACCAGGACCTTGTTAGTCTGGAAGCTTCCACCAAGGTGATGATCTATTTTTGGTTCTTTATAGCCTAGAAAAGGTCAACTACACTTTACTACCCTGATTTGTTGGTTGAATTACACTTTTCTCCCTTTTTGTAGAAGTGAGCACATTCCTTCATATTTTTATAACCAAAACTCAGAGAGACTTGGTTTTAGCTGGGAAGTGACTCCAAAAAAAAAATTGCCTCTTTGAATCATCATTGAAGCTCACCATTGGAGACAAAAGCTCATTCCTTTGGCACAATCATTAGGTCCTCTAGAGTCCTTTACCTGCTAAAAAATTACGTTGGACTTTACAAAAATCTGTTAAATAAAGTGGAGACTTGATATAATGTAATTTTTAGAGACAGTGCAAAAAAATGGGCTTACTTAATTTAGGGTGGCAAGCTGCAGTTGACCAAACAAAAAAAGACCAAAATGCATGTAACTTTATTCAAATTTGGCTCTAAGGCAGGTATTCCTTTTGGTATCAAGTTTGGAATTAATTTGCTTAAAATTTATCAGCAAAATACTTCCTTTTAATAAACATGCACATTAAGAAACCTTAGTCAAAAATGCAATTTACCAATAATCACAAAATCAACTGAAATTTCACCTAGGATGAGCACACATGTTGAATCAAGTTTCAGCTTAATCCCTGTTCTTTTGAACCACGTTTCTTGCTTTCTTTCATTTCATTATGGCTACAATTGGCTATTTGCTTCATGTTGAAAAAGTGGGTTGATTTCACCACTCATCTACTCAAGGGTCAAAGTTAAAATGATATTTACATTTTTCTCTGAAAGAAAATTCTGTTGAGATGGGACTGTTTAACTACCATTATTAGGTAATAATATTACAATGTGTATTGACTGGACATGCCATTTCTTTCAGATACAATTGAAGTCATTAGCAGAAGAGATGCAGGCAATTGTCAAGGGATTAGAAAAGGTTAAACAAGAATATGCAGCATCTGAAAATGATGGACCTGTGTCTGAAGTTTTCCGTAAGGTGTTAAACATTTTTATGTTAGTCTCTTGATTCTTCATTATATCAGGAAAATAATAATAGTAAAATGACGAAGGAAGTTCAATATCTAAATTGAATTCTGAATACTGGTTTTTCCTGCTTCATGAATGTAGTTAATTGTGTAGTTATGACAACTATCATCATCAATTTATATGATAGAAATTGGATCAGAAATCAGAATTATAGAAAGGACGCTGCCTAACTTGCAGAACATGGAGGTTCTGCACCTCCCTATGCCCAAAGACCCCATTCCTCTCACAAATGACAAGATATCCCTCCCTCTCAACCCCTCTTATTTATAGGCATCATGCTTTAATCAAACTATCTCATATAACTGACTTACTAGTATAACTAACAAATAGGTAAATAACCAACCTATTGTAACTAACTACTATTGGTAGTTACCTAACATTAAAGTTTATTGTTGTGAATTAGTAGTTCATGTTAGGTATGTAGATTTGCGGACTCTGGCAGAATTTTTTCTCAACTTGTTTTCTTCATTGTATGTAACAGTTGTTATATTTCTTATCTCGACCTTTGATTTATAGCATGAGATATACATATACAATTAATCGAAAATTACCCTATACAATCTTTTATTGACAGTTTATAATGTCCGTCCCCTTTAAGTAAGAGGTGATATTATTGTTCTGAAGCACTAATAGGTAGCCCCCATATTTGGTTAGTTAGGGGCTGAGATAATTAGAGAAACAAGGCATGTTGTGTACAAATAATAAAAGGGGTTGAGAGGGAAATTTTATCTTGGGATTTGAGAGGGAATTCATATTGTTCTGGGAGTCCAGGCCTCTCAGAAGTCCTGGGAATAATTTGTTTCGGTTTTAATAGAATCTTGTCTTTGTATTATTCTGATCCAGTTTCAATCAGGCACCCTCAATGCACCTATTGGCTACTTGTTTGTTTCTGAGAAGTAAAATACCTTCTGATAGAACTTGTAAGGGAGTTTATTGTGATTTAAATTTTAAACAACAGTTTTCAGAAGCTGGCAGTTTTTCTTTTTTTCTTTTTTAATTTGTCATGGAATTGGCTAGAGATCGGAACTGACTTTTGTCTTAAATATTGAGGGTATTATTGCCACAGTTATTGATTGAATTCAGCTCGAGTACATGTAGTATGTACTTTTTCTATAGCTTCCAATTTCAATCCATTGAAAGGGATTGTGTCAATGGTTTTGTTGGAAATATTTTGTGAAAAATATAGAAAAATTGGATCTTGCAAACAAATTGAAATTAAAATTGAAGATGGTATATTGTTATTAAAATTCATAAAAGTGGATGCCTATGTATAGAATTACTATCAATTTAAAATCCCTAATAAATCTCATCTACTAACAATCCTACTTATTGATATTGCATTAATTAACTGAAAGCAAAATATAAAATATAAAACTGTAATAATAACAAATATCCTATCTAAAATTTATTCCAAATTCAAAATTCAAATAAAGGAAAATCTCATAAATCTAACATTCCTCCTTAAAATTTGTCATGAATATCTCAAACTTTAGTTTCATGAACTCCAAAACATGATTTCGGAAGCACCATGTCAACAAGTTGTTTCACACCAATTTTTTGACCTAAATCATTGCTATCTTAGTCATTCAATTTAACTCCTCCCGTCTTTAAATACCATTTGCTAGGTTTTTCATATCAAATACATCTTGTATAAAAGTGTGACCAAATCTTCCATGCCAAACATTACTTTCATCAATTTTATCAATAAAATCATGATCTTCAACAAATCAAATTTCAAATAAAAACTGTTTTTGATCATCTCAATCTTTGCAATTTCTAACCCATGCTCATTCATGATAAAACAATAATTCTCTTAAAAAGAGACTCCATATCCATTCCTTAGCATTTGTGGAACACTAAGAAGATTTTAATCTAATTTCGGAATGTGAAAAATATCTTTGACAATTGTATCTTTCTTGGTTGGTATAGAAATCATTCCTTTTCCTTTGGCTTGCACAATTTTACCATTTCCCACCTTGAGTTTTGGTTCAATTGATTTGTGAATGGAGGTAAAAAATGATAAACATTTAGTCCCGTGACTAGTGCAACCACTATTAATGAGAGCGAAGTATTCAATCCATGTGAATTGAGTTCTTGAGATTCCATAAATAAATTATCTTCATCATCATTTTTTTCTTTAATCACATTTTCCTGATTTTCTAGTTGTTGCTTAGGCCGGTTCTTCTTTAATTTGTAATATTTTTCACTGTGACCGTTTTTATTGCAAAAATTACTGTGAAAAAGAGGTTTATCCTTAACCCAACAATATTATTTAGTATGGTTGGTTCTTTGGCAATGAAAACAAGGCAAATAATTTTTTTTTTGAAGAACCTTCAACTTTCCCGTTGTTGTTATTGAAAGTTTGTGAGTTTTCAAAATTCCTTGTATTGTGTTTTGCTCGAAAGACACCTTCAACAACTTCATCTCTTCTCATTGAGACTCTTTGCTCTTGTGTGTGAAGCTTGCTAGTCAATTCAATAATTGTTTGAGTTTGCAAATCACAAGACTCTTCAATTGCAGAGATCTCGACTTCAAATCTTTCGAGTATTGAAACAATGATTTTTTCGACAACCTTCTGATCTATAAATGATGTTTCACCAAGTCTCAGTTGACAAAGTCATTATGCTTCTTCTTCAATTCAAATTCCCTCTTCAATGTGAGAAGTCTAATAGATTTGACTCTGCTACTACCTTCAAATTCACCTTGGATCTTGTCCCACACCTTTTTAGTAAAAATATGATTTGCATGTCCTGCATGCAAGCAAATGATGACTTTATCTTTTCCTCCTCATAAGCTTTGATTTGTGCAATGGTTGAATTTTCTCTCTATAGCAATGGATCAGTTTTAGAGATTATAGTGGTTCATAAACCTTGAGACTTTAAAACAAATTTCATCTTGACAGCCCAAATATGATAATTTTCACCATTAAACTTTAGAATTGTAGGTGAATTGGTGGAAATAGACATATTTCCACCACAATTGCTTGAATAAAAAATCACTCAATTTAGTGTTTGCAATTAACCTCTGTGTTTTGCGCTTAATAAAATTTTTCCTCACAATCTATAGGAAGCAAACTCTTGATACTACTATTGGAAATATTTTGTGAAAAAAAAATTAAAAAAATAGGTCTTGCAGACAAAGTGAAATTAAAATTGAAGATGGTAAATTGCCATTAAAATTACCATTAAAATTCATAGAAGAGGATGCCTATGTATAGGCTTTCAATCTATTAAAAATTCCTAACAAATCTCTTTTACTAATAACCCTAATTGTTAAAATTACATTGACTAACTGAAAACAAAATATAAAACTGTAGCAATAACAAATATCCTATCTAAAATTTATTTAAAATTCAAAATTCAAAAAAAAGGAAAATCTCATAAATCTAACAGGCTTAAGTATTTTAAGAAAGTGGTTTGGAACTTAACTCAATCTTACTAAATCAACTTGTAAGATGAGGATTGCTCCTCACTTATATACATTATTATAGCCTCCAACATACCCCTCTCATGTCATGGACCGAACATTTAGAGCGTGAAGTTTGCAAGATTGAATATCTGCAAGTGATTTGATAATGGCCCGATAACGGGTGTTTTGATAAGCCCACTAACAAGAATTGCTAAGATAGACTCTGATACCATCTTAGCAAGTAGGTTATAAACCTAACTCAACTTTACAAAACTGGCTTAAAAGATGAGAGAATTATTCCTTATTTATATATACTATTATGACCTTATTTCTAGTCGATGTGGGATCTCCAACAAAGAAATAGTTATTGCAAATTACAATGGCCAAATTATTATGAGGGGGTACTAGAGGAAACTATTTTAGGGTTACTACTTAAGTACATATCACCTAGGGTTAGAATTGAACTACAAAATCCCAGTAGAAGTTCAAAAATCCTTAACTTGCATTTGAAAAGGGAATAAAATAGCTGTCTTCTTAAAATGACTTGCCAAAACAGTTTTATGTTCTTCCAAGTTTTGGATGCAGTTGTTAGGTGTTTATGAATTATTTAGTTTATTCAGTTGGAACTTTATGATTATATGTTTAGGGATGTTTCGTTCCCTAAGCTCATGGATAGGATTGAGTTCTTTGCTTCTCTATGGTGTTCTGCTCACGGCTAATTTTGATCAAGTTACAATTTCTGATATGGAGAGAGGCTGGGAAGGAAGCCTTGGTGTATTTTGGAATCTTTGTATGCTCATTGTATCTTGACTGTAATGTTTTTGAAGACTATAGAAAGTTGACTTGGATAACATGCCCTTTATTTTTAGTGCATTGACTTGAACAACTGTTTACTTGAACTTTTCTGAAGACATGAAAATTATATTACTCAACTATTCCAAATGTTTTTTTAACCTATTTTCACATTTTTGTGTCTAAACTTTTCCCTTGTCAGCATTGTTTACTTGTCAGATTCTCCTAAATTCTATTAGCCTCTTGTTATTGATTGATGGTGATGATGAACCAAATATAAATCTCCACACTTTTCTTTAGTCATGCATAAGCATTCATGTCAAACTGAAATTAAGTAGAGCTTTAATTTTCTTTTTATCAGTGACTAAGTTTTCTTTCATATTACATGGATGAATATAATTCTACTTTGTATGGTTTATCTGGTTTACATTTTCAGTACATTTGACTCTTTTCTTTTTCAATGTTCTTTTCAGTCATTGAAAGAATTTGTAGGTGTAGCTGAGTCAGAGGTAGCATCTCTGACAAACCTTTATTCTGTAGTGGTAATATGCTTAACTATCTTCCTTGTTCATGATGCACCAATATTAAGAGATATAAAGATTGTATAATTTGTCTATGGACAGGGTAGAAATGCTGATGCACTTGCACTATATTTTGGTGAGGATCCTGCTCGTTGCCCATTTGAGCAAGGTAAGTTGATGATTAACATGTTTATATTGTTGGTACTCAATAGAAGTGTTCGCGGTGCGATTTAGTTCAGTTTTTGCCTTAAAATTTATTTGAACCAAACAAGAAAATTAAGTGCAGTTTGGTTTGAATGAATTATGAAATCCGAACCAAACCAAACCAATATTTTGTAGTTTGGTTTTGTTTGGTTTTTGTGGTTTTTAAATAATTCATAATTTTTCATTCTAAAATTCAGTTTTTTTTTATACCAATTCTAAAATTCAGTTTAGTAGCTTACAATTTTATATGATACCTTTTAAATATTATAACGTATATTTGGAGAAAACACTTTTTTAGTAACTTCCAATTTTACAAAACACCTTTTATGTTATGTGTCAATTTTGTATGTCTTCATAGTGCATTTGAAGAAAATTTTTTTTCAAATAAGTACAGTTTGGTTTGGTTTAGAACGATTTTACATTTCAATCTGAAAACTGAATCAAACCGCGTGGTTTTGGTAATTTAAATACAAAATCGTTAATTTACAATTTTCCATTGGTTTTCAGTTTTTTTTGGATTGGTTTGTGGTTTTTTATTTAGGTTGGTTCAGTTTTGAACACCCTAGTACTCAGTATGATATGCAAGCATTGTCTTATGAATAAGTTGTTTATTAAATAAGTGTTTATCATGTAAGCACTTATGAATAAGTTGTTTATGTAATCAAGGGGAAAATTGTATAAACTGTTTTCATATAAGTTGTAAATTACTTTCCTAAGCTATTTTGAAAGATCTTATTGAGATATAAGCTAAAACAGTTTATGGATATATCACAAATTATTTTCATAAGCAGTCCCAAATACTTATACAAGTGTTTATATCATAAGATGAGCCCAAGTGTTTATTGGATAAATTTTTCTAGAAACACTTTTGAGAGGAAAAAATAGGAAGGAAAAAATAGAAAGGAAAAATAAAATAAGTTTTCCTATAAGCTAAAATTGGCATATGTATAAAAGTGTGTTTGCTTTCACTCTCTGTCAACTTGGACGTGAATTGGAGAAGCAACTATTAGTTGCTTTTGGTGCATTATGATGTGAAAATGTTAGAAAATGTGGATCACAAACGTAGTACCAATCAAGCACTAAGCTTATTTGTAATTTTTTAGAGAAGTTATATGATAGTTTTTACAAATTGACTTATGCATAAGCTAGTTTTAGCTTATGGAGAAACATGTTTCATTTTTCCTTTTTATTTTTTCTTCCTAGATGTGTTTTTGGAGAAGTTTATCCAAACAAGTCTCAAATAAGATATAAATAAGTTCTTCTAAACACACCCTTATTTATCAGATTATACTTTATTAACTTTCATTCAACTAATGTTTCTTGTGAAAGTGCACTTTCATGACCAGTTGCATTTATGATTGGTAGAAGTGTATTTTGTGGAAATTTGGTTGATTTATAAGTGTGATTTTTTTGTCTAAGGTGAAGGAAGCATGCTTGTGTTTATTTATTTATTTATTTATTTTTAATGTTTCTGTTGAGATCCCACATCGATAAACATGACCAATGTAATGTAGTCTTATAAGGCTTGGACAGTTCTCACCTTACGAGTGAGTTGTGGGGTTTAGTAAGTCTTAAGCCCATTCTAGATCCATTATTATGTCACCCTATGTCGTAGATGTGAGGGGTTCTCACCCTATGTAGTCTTATAAGTGTGAGGGGTTGTTATTATTGGGCCATCTGCATTTGTCATCCCTCCAGGTGAATCAGTCCTGGTCCTCCTGGACGTAAGAGTGCATCAAGATCTCATATCATCTTATAAGTTGGTTCTCTGGGATTGAGTTTAGGCTTTAAGGCCAAATTCCATGAGTTTGTAATGCAATATTTATTTACCAAACTAATTCAAATCCTTCCTTAGATATTAGAATGCTAGGTGTGGTAATGGGTTGCTGAATTTGTAGAAATGCCCGTCCAGCTTTGATCCATGTGTAAGAACTGTGGCAAAAGAAAATTAGATAAATAGAGGGAAAATCTCAATGGAATGAAGTTTCGTCATCCATGTGTGTTTCTGTTATGTTTGGAAAGAGTGGC